AGCTCTAATTATTTATCAGAGTGCTGGTGTGGAGCTATGGTATAATGCACTGGACATCAAGGTCAATTTGAACTGCAAGGTCAGTGGTTCAAATTCACCAATTACTCCTCTGAAACCCTGTACAAGGGCACTATGAGTTGGAAATGACTTAATGGCACTTAATAACAGCAAAACAAAGTTATTTATTGATTGTCTTACTTCAGGCAAAATACATAGTGTAACTGAGCTAGGCACACTCTGAGTATGGGGCTAGTTGTATCTATCTCAAGGAGCTCTGGTAGCATAGTGGTTACAAATCGGGCTGCGAACCTCAGGGACAGCAGTTTGAAACTACCAACTGTTCTGTGGGAGAAAGATAAGGCTTTCTGCTTCTGTAAAGATATATATAGCTTTGGAAACCCTGTACAGGATAGCTATGAGTCAGAACCAACTCCATGGCACATAACCACAACAACAGTACCTATCTCAGAGGAGCTCTTGTGGCACAGTGGTTAAAGACTTGACTGCTAACAAAAGGTCTACAGGTTTGACCCCATGAGCTACTGTGATGGAGCAATAGGTGGCCACTTTTTTCCCATCAAGTTTCCAGTCTTGGAGGCCCTACAGGGAATCTCTACTCTGTTCTAGAATCGCTATGAGACAAAATCTATTCAGTCATCATGGGAATACCTATCTCATGGTCTTTAGGACATCCTAATAGTTTGTATTCAACTACTAACCTAAAGGTTGGTGATTCAAGTTCAACCAGTTGGGCTACAGAACAAAGGAATGGCAGTCTGTGCATGCAAAGACAGCAGTTTTATATTATAACCCAGGACATTGTCATGAGTCAGAATTGACTCCACTGCAATGAGTTGGTTTGACATCCATTTCACATGAATGGACTGAATGTATTTATAGCACATTGTCTGGTACACAGTTTCTTTGGATGATAAAGTAAAAACAAAATTACATAATGAAAATTATGCCATGTCTTACCATCATGACTTTGTAAATGTTCCACCTTTACTGGGATGGCACGTGTATCTCTTTGTTTCCTATTTTCAATCATTGAATAAATTTCTACAGAACTGTATGAATCATGTATGTTACTTTGACTTAGATTTCACCTTAACTTTTCTCACATGGGATTATGTTATGTGTCTTGAATAATTAGTAGGAAAACAAGACAATTTCTTAAACTCTCTGGAGATTTTGATACAATAAATGAGCCACACACTTGTTCCTCAGGGAATATAAGAGAGGAAGGGGACACCCATAAATTCTTCTAATCAAAGAGAAAGGAACTATAAATTGGAAAATTTTCACTTCTTCATGAAAACTGACCAGGTAAGAATTGCTCTTTATTATTATTATTATTATTATTATTATTATTATTATTATTATTATCACTGGATCTTGGTTATTTCCGATGACCTCTGGATTTTGACTGTAGGCACTCTTATGGTTACTCACAGCTAAGATCTTTTAGTTAACCACAAACATAATCTCCTTTGTGAACGGAAGTTCACTTATCTGTAGTTGTTTTCAAGATTCCAATTCTATTAATCAAACATGTTCCCGATTTCTATCTAACTTGTATGAGCGACTACTGATATGTGGATGCTTCAAGTAAAGAGAGGTTTCTTACATCTGAAAAATGCACTTCACACAGAAGAGAATCAAGCAGATAACAAGACACCAAGTCACATTTACTTTCAGACAAAAATGATATTTAATGTAAGTATTTCTGGTGCAATATTTGGAGTTCTAGTGTGGCACTTTGGTTTAATGCACTGGACTGTAAGGTGGGTTTGAACCACAAAATCAGGGGTTCAAGATCACCAGCCCCTCCTCAGAAGCCCTACACAGGGTCATATGAGTTAGAATCAACACGACAGCTCTTAACAACAGAAAATGCTATCTTTAACTGTTAACAAATGTTATTTTCTTACAAATGTTTACTTAACTGTATATTCTAAGTATGAATTGTGCAATTTGTGATGAAATAGCAACTGTTTTATGATCAGCATTTCCAATGCAAAAACGTAGTTGTTGGCAGTTTTTTTTTTTTCCCTTTTCTTTCTTTTTTTGTGTGGTTACTATTTTTCTTTGGTTAATTCATAGTCTCCTTAGTAGATTGCTTACAAATAGGTCTACTTTTTCACAAGGATTATTGCAAACTGATTGAGTAGGCTGACATATACATTATGTGCTTTTAAGTTACAGAATTATGGCTAATTCCCTGAACTCAAAATAAATTCTACCTGATATCACTATATCTGCATATGTTTGTCTCCTGTCCTCTTGAATGGTTACCAGAAAATGGAGGTATTTCAAATGTATTCATTAAGAGAGTCAGCTAAATTATAGATATTCTCTTTCAGAGAAGATGAGTAGGAAAAATAAAATAATGCTGACATTTTCAGAAAGAGTTGTAACTAACAATAAAATAAGACATGGACTCAATACACACTAGCATATTCCTTAGAAAAACAACAAAGACTTCAAAGTTCTGATTGTCTTTGCTCACTGCAGTACATCACCTATTCCACAGTAAAAATCCCATGATTTCAAGTTCAGTGATGTTCAAATTGCAGATAAAAATTTCAAATGAGATAGTTTCTCAATCTTATATTGTGGTAGAATAGATAGACCTGGAGTGAGACTGGAACTCCAGGTAGAAAGAGCAGACAATTTTATCTAGGAATATGGGGTGAAGATGACTTACCAATCTCTATTAATGACCTGCACTCAATCTCTTGGATCAGATTGGCAAAATCAGTAACCCCAAAATAACAGATCTCTAAAATGTTGCCAGTCTCCTGAATATTTTTACCAGCCAGAAAATAAAAATCATCCTAATAGACACCTGTTGCAAATGGATCTGCATTGCAGATTACTCAGTTTGTTGGTGGGAATTTTGATTGGGACCCAGATATTTCTGAAAGTTATGCAAGCCAATCCTGGCCAGTGCATTGAATTCTGAAATGCCTCTCCAGTAATCTGTGTCCTTGAATGTATTGCCTGCTATTACAATTAAAACATCTTTCTTCAGATCCCTAGGCTTCACTTGAGAGGACACTGAATGTAAGAGGAGTTTAATGATAATCCAAGTGCATTAAGCCACTCCACAAGAAAAAGATGAGACAGTCTGCTTCTTCATAGATACACAGTCTCAGAAATGCTATGGGGCAGTTACACTCTGTGCTATAGTGTTGCTACGAGTTGGACTCAATAGCAGTAGCCTTCGGTTTAAGGGTTGGTTCAGTCATTTCAAAACGAGGCTTTGAAATGGCTCTTCCTAGTCATTTATGGCTGAGGAAGCTCAAATGTGGTAATGCCCCACTAAACACTGGCTGGTCCCACCACTTTGAATGTATATGTTTCTCCAAAGTCCTGGCAATAATCTACTCTTATGCATCAGACTCCTGAGGGGTACACTCCAACTCTTCCTAGTCCTTCATTCTAGGTTTACAACTCATGGTTTCTCCCATTCCAGTTACTATCATGAGTCATTCAATAATAAAAATTCAGGTTTATGCCTGTTTCCCTTTGTTGGCCAAGATAGAAGCAGTTCAATGTCCTGCTTAGAGGTCAAGTTGAGCATTTGTTACCTGGGGACAGCCTGTATCTCTTTATTGGCATTTCTCATTCATGATAACAGGGACAATCCACTATCTAAACATTTTGTGTATTAAAGGCATACATCTAGCATTAATGAATGCCAAAGTGCTAAATGAGAGTACTCCTGGCTGTGGAGATTAAGGTAATATGATAAGTTGGCTGAGCCATGATTCCCAGTGATTGGCAGTTATATAGTGGTCTAATTTAGAAGTTAAATAATGATGTAACCTGGCAGGTATATAAGGATGCATTCATTCTCCATTTTGTGATATGATGTGGGCATCCTCCATTTTCACATAACTCCTATTTTTGCACAATAGCTTGTTTTGGGGAACTTAGCCATGTTTATAAGTGAGGAATATGTGTATATTGTTTTATTACAAACTTTGTACGTTTCATATGCAATTTTCAGTTTTGGCAAGTGGCATCTTCTACAATCTATTTTAGCTTAAAATAAATAGTGGGGATTTTTTTCTGTCCTCTAGTATGAAGAAAAGATGCTCTGGTAACATAGTGGTTATGAATAGGGCTGCAAGGTCAGTAGTTCGAAACTACCTGCTGTTCCGCCGGAGAAAGAGGAGGTTTTTTGCTCCAGTAAAGATTTAGAGCCTTTGAAACTCTGTACAATGTGGCTATGAGTTGGAACTGACTCCATGGCACATAACAACAACAATAGTAAGAAGAATAAAGGAACTCTGGTAGCATAGTGGTTACGAGTCGGACTGCTAACTCCAAGGTCAACAGTTTGAAATTGACAGCGGTTCTGTAGAAAAAAAAAATGAGGCTTTCTGCTCCCACATTATTTACAGCCTCAGAAGCCCTATGCAGGATCGCTATGAGTCGGGACCAACTCCACGACACACCACCACCACCACCAGCATGAAGAAAATCTCCATTCAGTCTACACGTAGTATAATTTGTTTAGATAACACCATACACAAGCTAATATTAATCCCTCTGTTTCTTCCTAGAAGAGATTGCTAGACTAAATGGGCCAAAAGACTCTAACAGTGCTGTCTGAGTTCATTTTAATGGGAGTCCCAAAGCGACCTGAGCTGTATTAAAAAAATTTTGATGGCTTTGTGAAGATTAACTAAAGTCTAGCATCTCTATATTAACAACTATATCCTTTTAGTATAAATGTGTATGCCAAAAGCCTTGTTGAACCTGTGTTTTACCAGTGTATAATGGGTCTCATATGGTTCTTCCAACTTGGAAGTAGTGTATGTTTGACTATTTGTTTTAGCTTAAAATCAGATGCAACCCCCCCCTCCCATTTTCTAGTATGAAAAAAGTCTCCATTATACTACAAATATTATAATGTGTTTAGGAAATACCACATGAAAACTAATATCAATCCCTCTGTTTCTTCCCAGTATAGATAACTGGACAAAATGGGCCAAACGAACCTAACAGTGCTAACCGAATTTATTTTAATGGGAGTAACGAAGAGACATGAACTGCATCTCCCCCTTTTTGGAGTCTTTCTCATCATCTACATGATCACAGTTGTGGGCAACTTGGGCATGATCATCTTGACCAAGGTGGATGCCCGCTTACATACACCTATGTATTTTTTTATCAGACATTTAGCTTTCATTGATCTTGGTAATTCTACTGTTATTTATCCCAAGATGCTAGTAAATTTTGCTCTGGATAAAAACACAATATCCTATTATGAATGTGCTGTACAGATGGCTTTCTACATTTTATTCATTATCACTGAACTCTACATCCTGGCAGCCATGGGCTATGACCGCTATGTGGCCATCTGTAACCCTCTGCTCTATAATGTTATCATGTCCCAGACACTTTGCCATGTGCTCATAGGCATTCCATATCTCTTTTGTACCTTTCAGTCTCTGTTACTCACCAGTAGGATATTTACATCAACCTTCTGTGGTTCCAATGTTGTCAGTGACTTCTTTTGTGATAATGTTCCCTTAATACCTTTGCTCTGCTCAAATGCTCGACAAATAGAACTGATGATCATATCACTTGCATCTTTTAATTTGATGTCCTCTCTCCTAATAGTCCTGGTGTCCTATTTGCTGATTCTGATGACCATATTTCGAATGAATTCTGCTGAGGGCAGGAAAAAAGCTTTCTCGACATGTGGCTCTCATCTGACAGTGGTGGTAGTGTTCTATGGATCTCTACTGTTTATGTATGTGCAGCCTGAATCTGCACACCCTTTTAGCACAGACAAAATTACCTCTGTGTTTTACACTTTAGTTATTCCTATGCTTAACCCCTTCATCTACAGCTTAAGAAACAAAGAGGTAAAAAATGCCTTCTACAGGACCTTTAAAAATCCATGTAAACGTTGTATTTAATATACACAGTTGCTACGAGTTGGAATCAACTCGACAGCACTTAACAACAGCAATAATTATATTAAGAAATTATGAAAATTTTATTTGATCCTACACTTATAAATGACATAATTGGATGTTTTTTGGTTCTAGAGCAGAGTCAAATTTGGGATGCTTTCTGTATACTCATTCAAATTTATATTAGTCATCATGTTTTTTCATCATAATTTAAATGCCATGTCCTGTTCAAGATTCCTTATTTCTGGTGCAATGCTTCTTTGTGTGATTTCATAACTTTTCCATGTTGTTGTTAAGTACTGTCAAGTCAGTTCAGATCCATAGTGACTTTGTGTATGGTTTCCAAGATTGTAAATCTTTTTGGGACCAGATAAGCTCATCTTTCTTCCACAGATCAGTTAGTGAGCTCAATCCATGGACCCTGAGAGGAGCAGTCCAGCACTTAATACTATAGAGTCAAGGTGCTCCCTTTACTTCTCCCCCACTGGGCCACAGGCCAGTTTGAACTGCAAAGTTGGTGGTTCAAACCCATCAGCCACTCCTCAGAAACCTTAGACAAGGTCACCATTAGCCAGAACCAACTGGACAGCACTTAACAACAACAACAATAGAACACTTACTCTTTATAAATAAATTATGTATAATTTCTTTTAGTGTTTAGTAAGGATATAGAGCTTCTGAATTTTATTTTCACTGTACTTTTGGAACCTAAATCAATAACATAAGCAAAGTTGTAGACAAAGAGTTATCTGCATCCACGTTCACATCATACAAAATCTGATATCATGAATGATCTATTTTTCCCCTTAGCAGGAAATTTGACTTGTTACAATCATTTCTAATGATATAGTCTGTAATCAAATATCTAGATGATTTTGATGCTAGCTTTTCCCTTGATTCCTTTCTTCCTTAGACACCTAGCACCCTTTAGGCTGATTCTTTAGATTATATCTAAATGCACAGATGATAACTCTGAAAGTGAGATTGGATAAAAAAAAAAATGAGTGAGGGAAGATGCATTGTGGGCAGAATTAAAGGATTTATTATAGGTGATAACTGATGGAAAATATTATGGTTAAAAACTCGTGTAAGAATCAGGAGAAAATACTGACACATTTGCTAGTTCGATGAAATTGGAGAATATTGTGTTGGTTAAAGAAGAAAGAGCTACATGTCAACAGCACAAATATATTTGTGATTTGTGTTTTTATTGTTGAACACTGTCAAAAGTAATTGGGGCAAAAATAAATGAAAGAATATGGGGTTTATTTGTACAGGTAATCTGTATGCCTACAAAGAAAATTTCCTATTTGGAAAAATGGAAGAATGATTTAGATCTGTTACATTGAGACTTTTGAAAAGAGATGTGAATGCAAAGTAGAAAATTAAACATCTCTCTAATCTTTACAAGAGAACCAATCTTACAGAGGTTTCCAAGTGGATATTGTGATCTGACTGAGTGACTTAAATTATTCTGCAAATGCCAAATGTTCAAACTTGTCTCCTCAGGAAACAAGGGCAAAAGTAATTTCTATTTTGGGCAAAGTTGTTTCTACAAGAGAAAGTTTAAATTAGACTATGGTTATCATCTATCTGTCCAGTTATAAAGGTTTGGTGAAGAATTCAGTCGTTGTGTCTATCTCAGTTTCCTGATGTTCATTCTCTTGGTCATACTCTAAGGGATACTGCTTAGTAGAGATACTCATCAATTAATATAGGTGCAGTTTGCAAAGTTCCCAAACTTGTTCTAAATCCTGTATCTGATCTTTGCTTTTGGTACTTGTAGTCTATCATCTGACCTGATGCACCAGCTTCTGCTGCCGAGTGAATCAATAGTCTGTCATCTGACCTGCCAATTTGAGTATGTCCCTTACATAGATCAAGGAAGATATGGTAATTAAGGGAGCCCCCTTAAGTGTGCATCCCATATAACCTTCTTGTTATTAAGTGCTGTCGAGTCAGTTCTGACTCACAGTGGCCCGGTATAGGATTTCCAAGAAATAACTGGTGGGTTTCAACTGCTAAGTTGTGATTTGCAGTCCAGTGTTGATCTTACAGCCCCACACCAAGAGTCGCCATATAAAAGCAACAATCTGAGAAACCATGTTGAAATTGTTGGTACAACTTCCCTGCATGGGTTTTACAGATGCGAGAAACAAAGCTAAGTTATACGAGAATGGGACGAGGAAACTGGAAATGAACTTTCCCTACTTGTTGTTAACTGTTGTCAAGTTGGTTCTGACTCACCAATCCTGTATGTAATGCCACCTAAGTCTTCAGCTGTTCCAGATACGTTATCAACAGCATGGAAAATATAGCTGGCTAAAGGAGACTGATACCCAGAGTTGATCTTACAAATGCCTTTTTATCTATCCCAATCTCAAATAAGAGTCAAAGTTTACATTCACATGGGAATGATCCTAATTCACTTTCAGCATGCTGTCACAGGGTTATTTAAATCCATGAGTTTATTGTCATAGCATGGTTAGAAAAGACTTTGATTTAGTGCAGATCTCAACAACAGTGATACATGACATTGATGATATTATACTAATATCAAACACAGAAGAATCTGCTAAAGCAGATTTGAAAACAATTGCCTACAAAACAAACAGAGGCTGGTTAATAAATCCAGCAAGAATCCTGTTCTCTGACCAAGCAGTAAAACTCTTGGGAATAAATTAGTCTGGAGACATCAATGACATTCTTCAGACAATAAAGAAGAAGTTACTGTTGCTACCTATCCCCAAATCTAAGCATTTGGTTGGTCTATTTGGATCTTGGAGGATGCATATTCCACATGTGTGAATACTGTTGGCTCCCATCCAAAAGACCATTCAGAAGACAATTATGTTTGAATGGGGGTCAGAGAGTAACAGCAGGCTATGTCTGAGTTACAGAAATCAGTGTCAGACACCTTACCTTTAGGCCCTTATGATTCACAATCAGGCATGATTTTAGTGGTATTTACCTCATGTTCTTGCAGATGATACAACCTTGCTTGCTGAAAGTGAAGAGGACGTAAAATATTTGCTGATGAAGATCAAAGAGCACAGCCTTCGATATGTATTACATCTCAATGTAAATAAAACAAAATTTCTCCCACTGGACCAATAAACAACATTCTTATCAATGGAGAAAAGATTGAAGTTGTCAATAACTTCATTCTTTTTGGATCAACTATCAACACTCAAGGAAATAGCAGTCAAGAAATCAAAGGATGTATTGCATTAAGCAAATCTGTTGCACAAGATCTTTTAAAAGTGTTGAAGAGCAAAGCTGTCAGCTTGAGGACTAAGGTATGCCTGACCCAAGACATGGTATTTCCAATAACCTCATATATTGTGAAAGCTGGACAGTGAATAAGGAAGACCATAGAAGAACTGATGCTTTTGAGTTATGGTGTTGAAGGAGAATATTGAAAGTGCCATGGGATGCCAAAAGAACCAATGGATCCATTTTGGAAGAAGTGTAACCAGAGTGCTCCTTGGAGGCCAAACTTCATCTCTCATACTTTGGACATATTGTCAATAGGGACCAGTCACTGGAGAAGGATATCATGTTTGGTAAGGTGGAGTGTCAGAGAAAAAGAGGAAGACCCCCAATGAGATGGATTAGCCAAGTGACAGCATCAATGGACTCAAGCGTGGCAACAGTGGTGAGGTTGGCCCAGGATCGGGCAGTGTTTTGTTTTGCTATGCATAAGGTCACTATGAGTTGGTACTGACTCAGTGGCACCTAACAACAACAACCTCATGTTCTTATGTAGATTTCAGCATACTGGAAGCAAACAAATAAAACAAAACTGAGAGTGCTACTCTACAAAGATCCCTGGGTTTCTGGACTAGAAAGTTTCCAGATACTGCAAAAGGATACATGTCATTTTTTTTTTACTGTTTTATTGTGAATTATGTGATAGTTTACATGTGAGACCATTAGCTTTACATTCAACCTATCGTATATCGTTACATTGCCATGGTTACCATCCCCTCCATGCATCATCAACCAAACAAAGAGTATACCCTGCAAGCCTGCCCCTTGGTTGTCAGCACACAGCCCCTCTCCCTCTCTGGGTCTAGAGTCCCCGGCTGCTCCATCTCTCCATGTCATCATCTCTGCCTCTATCTCTGGTGTCACTGTTTCTCTGGGTAGGGTCTCGCAATCCACTCTGTTCCCTTGATGGTCCCAGGGGCCTCTGCTCCAGGCCTGCAAAGTCAACCGCTCCCCTCCTTGTCTGAAGCCATGCCATCCAGGAACAGAACGGAGAGAGACCCTAAGCATGAAAAGCTCATTGTTTAGCAAAGTGACAATGAGTGTCTCCTTGGTTGGCAAAGCCCCAAGGGAAACCTAATGCAATGGCCTTGCAGTTTCTGTTTTTTCCTTTTATGAATAGTTTATTTTTTATTTTTCTTGATTTTATTATAGAAGTTTTCAGTAGAATTTTTAAATAATCATAGTAAAAATTAAAATTACATTTACACACTCTCACACTAAATTTAATCATGTAAAGTTATAATAGTTGCTTTTTACATCAACAATAAGTCTCACCATTAGGAAAAGCCACATCAGCTAAAAGCTTTTCAAGCTGAATATTACATCCTGCTTAGTAGACATTGAGGCACCTGAAAGAAACAATCTTACAATCAACATCCTGCTCAGTGGGTAGAGCAAGAGACACTGAGGTACCGGAAGATAGCAAAGAGCCAATCAAGAGCTGTAGGAACACTAGGAAGGTGGATAGAAATTTAACTAGAGGTTTGGGGAAATTATTAGTATAGGGGAATTGCTGCTTTGTTTTTGACTATGAAAATTTAGGTACTTTTATATAAATACTGTTGTGATTACGGATTGTGATTAATGAAGCTATAAGAAGTGGTAGATGAGAGTGAAAATGCAAGTTAAAATATAGAACTTTGCTTAAAAGTTGATTTGACTTTCTTGGGAGGATTAGAGAAGAACAAAAAGAGTTACGGAAATAAACCCGATGTTATCAGGATAATTAG